ATTATGTACGCCTCACATAAAGATTCAGCAGCTGTTTGAGTAAATAATAGATATATAAACGTCTTACGTCTTTCAAACCAAAACACTATTATTATTCATCATGTCATACAAGACTTCAACTCTAATATTCTACTGATCATTAGACCAGACATAGATCTGGTAACGTCATAAATTAGATTTTAAAATTAAGGTGTCACTTAATTGGTATCGTAAATACACACATACACACACGCACGCACGCGCACATACACACACACACACGCACGCACGCACGCACGCACACACGCACGTACCTCTTTATTCTAATATTAAATCATATTTATTTTTACTCCATGCAACTACCTTTTACTTTGAATTGTCACTATTGGGGGGGATCTGGTGTCTAAGATACAAGTTACGACTTAATTTAGGCTCCAGATCTCCCACAAATTACGATACTTTTATTTTGTATAAAGTAATAAAAAAAAAATCTTCCGTGTGGCGATGGAGTAAGAATACGTTGCATTTTTTCAATTCCAAAATGTGTAAGATACGACCATGGAGACATAGCATAATATACAAATATAAGGACAAAAAACTGTTGCTTTTTGCGTAGTACACTATTTAAATATAAACTCGGTAAACAGCTTAACCCAAATAAATCAAATGATTCGACTGGTTCAAATAGGGTAAACAATCCTTTGCGAGGTAAGACCTTTTTCTCCAAACCCATATATATAGCAATATGGAAGTACTTTCATGGAAACAAACAACAATATGTCAAACACATCGATAAAGTACTTGACCTATGCTTAAAACGTTGAAAAAGGAAGAGACCCCGCTGTGTCGCGACGATAAATAGTAGTCCTGTCTCATACACGGTTTATATATTTAAATGGAGTTAGGTTCGTATGATATTGCACAGTTTAAAGATGTCTACAACTTGTTTGTGACAGATAATCATAACATTGTCCTAATACTATACGCAGGTAGAGAAGATAAGTCGTTAAACGTTAAGAAGTTGTCATGACGTTACGGAAATAGAGTATCTTAAAAACAGATTGTATTCTGAGGAATTGTTTGAAACGATACCTAAGTCACCTTTTATCATTCCATCGACAGGAAATTCATCCTCACACGCTTGAATCTAAATCACGTACGGTGCGGTTTTAAAGAAATTTTCTCCCGCGAATGCTTAGGCTGTGGAATGAGCTCGCTGCGAACACTATACTCAAATAGTTAATATGACTAAAATAGGATGACCTTAAGGATTTTCACATACGAGCGATTCTTTGTCGACAACGGATGCAATTGAGTGTCGGCAGCGACAGCTGCTGCCGACACTTGACAGTTAGGGTGGGAAGTTATTAGTGACGGGAATTAATGGCCCCATTGCCAACGATATAACTTGTCAGGTTGATCTCCAGGCGGTGCTCCTTGGAAAGGACCATAATTAATAACTGATGAATACGTAAATCATGATCTGGTCAATTGGTCCATTTTCATCCTCATCTATCATATATGGCTATATATTTTTTTATAGAACTTAGAATGGCAAACAAACTGACGGCCCACCTGATAAAAAGTGGTAACCGTCGCCTATAGACATTAGCAGTACCATGGACGTAACAGAGTATACTGTTTCGCCCATGATATCCCCCCATGCGTTGCCATTCCTGAGGACTCAGGTGTTATTCCTCTATACCCAGTAAATTCACGCCATATCCCACCCTTCAAACCGAAATACAACTATGCAAACACAACTACTTCACGGTAGAAACACAAATGGGACAGAGGTGCCCAAGCAATTGACTTTTGTACAAAGTCTCCCTCTAGCTCCAGAGTTAATCAATAGTAATTTATTTTTAATGGGTGAAGATGAAATGGTAACCCCGCCTGCGCTATCGGTGTACGCTGGTGGGGTACTAGTAAAGGGTGATAGGTGAGGATGAAGGCAGGTCAGTTGGTTCATAGTGATCAAGTGAACAAGAATTAACCACTATGGTTTGTAGAGGAAACCGCGTGGCGGTCGACCTGATAGGGTATATTGCTAGCAATGGAGCTGCTAAATCTTATTACTAACAATTCCTTTCATCCCACTCAACAGCAGTTAGGGAGGTATAAACGTACGAATTTTTACTTTTAGAAAATTACTGCTTGGTAATTAGAGCCTTTATTAATATCGACTTAAGGAGATAAGGACTCGTGGAAGATAGAAATTTTAGCACAAAGTAACTTACTAAGATTTTTATTACTGTTATTAGTTCCTAAGATATATTAAAACCTTGTTTAAAAAACAAAAAAATATTTATGTTATTATACATTGTTAGTTAAAATTGTAATGAAATTAAAAAAAATGTATATATTTAATATATTTTAAAATTGTAATTTTGTTAACATGTTCTACTGTTGGTTTTATGTTATAATAGTACTTAATTATATATGAATAATTAACTAATTATATTAACTTAGTATATAGATATAATAAGTATATAAACAAGACATTGGATAACTGGAAAATAAACTTTGACATTAAAGACATAATGAAACAATTTATAAATACAAATCGTCAATAAACAATACTACACTTTTATATGATTTTAATGAGTACGAAAAGAAAAAATACTCCTATATTTAATTTGGAATTGCAATTCGTAAAGATTGCCAGTATCAATTCTATTATTCGTAACATAAATCCTGCACACCAGTCTTAATCCCTAAAAACGTTACTTCCTTCTGAAGTTTCCATTCAGCGATTTTTATTCAATAGATATCCATTTCGATATTGCTTCCGTATTATTCAGATTAGTTGACAATCTTAGAGACTGCAGGAGCTCAGTAGCCAGATTCTCGTAAAAAATATCTTTTAAGTTCAGAATTCTATATAGTTTATAGGCCTATATAAATATAGGCCACTGTTTCATTTCCCGTGTCGTAAGAACAAACTAAGAGAACGTAATGGTTGAGAGAGGGGGAAAAGGGATTGTTAGTAATGAGTTTTCACAGCCCCATTGCTAGCATTACACCCTATCAAGTCGACTTCCACGCGGTTCCCCCTGGAAACCTTAGTGGTTATTTTTTTTTCAAATGGTCACTGTGGGTCAATTGATCTGCCTTCATCCTCATCTATCATCTTTCATTGGTGCCGAGCGTATACCGATAGCGCAGGTGGGGTTACCATTTTATTTTCAGCTTTGGCGTGAATTTACTGGGTACAGAGGAATAACACCTGAATCCTCAGGAATGGCAATGCATGGGAGGTATCATGGGCGAAACAGTATACTCCGTTATGTCCATGGTACGGCTCATGTCTATTGGCGACGGTTACCACTTTCCATCAGGTGGGCCGTCAGCTTGTTTGCCGTTCTAAGTTGTATAAAAAAAGCTGTTATAAAAATGGTTGAGGGATGGGCAACAACGTCCCATTTAAAACATCACCAAAAGCTTATCTGCGGTTGCCAACTTGCCTGCCAAGCGTGGCAACTACTGGTAAAACCTTTCCTTATAGGGGCGGTCTATGTTTAACAATAGACAGACTACATAGTATAAAACAAACTCGCTGTTACTGTTTGTCCGTTCCTATGTATGCTTAAATCTTGAAAATTACGCAACGGATTTTGAAGCGGTTTTTTTTAATAGATAGAGTGATTCAAGAGGAAGGTTTATATGTATAATACATGCATTATATAGTAGAGAAACACTGATAAATTTAAAAGTTTCTAATGTGATGTGATGTAACGTGCCTGGTGCACGTTAGAAGCCGGCGCGGGTCGCTAGTGTATAATAAAATTTTAACAAAACGATATGTATACATACATATGTGTATATGTACATATACCTAAAATATACTGAGAAAACAATACAACGAAGTATCGATTGTATGATTAAAATTGACACCAATTAAGTCGCCTATAATAATTTTCTCGGAATCTATCTGAAATCAATATTACGTAAACGTAATACTAGCGACCTGTTTTATCTGAGGCCTTTTTTTTAAATAAAATTAAGCCCTATTTACTGACAAATAATGTAGTTTTTTATAAGTTAAGTATTATTATTATAAGTTTGAAAAAAGTTAACGTCATGTCACCAATTCGATACCGCTCATATCGATCGGATATCTCTTTTCGAATATTTTAAACTGTTGTCCAATATTACTTTTTGGATAACAAACTTGTAACTAAAATATATAGATGTTGCTGTAAAGTAACCACTTCTAGTAGGTATGTATTATCATTAACGTATTTGTATTCCAAAGTTTAGTACCGTATAAATAATTAATAATTATGTAGCATCAATTAAATTCATGTTTTGGCAAATCAGCGGATTTGATGTCTATCCATTAACCAAAACAAACATCGAAATTTGCATTCGAATACGTCTACAAGCAATAGGGTTATTTTAATTAAAGATATTTGTAATCAATTACATTTTACCATAATCACAATTATGTGAATTCATAATTCCAATAATTATATTGGAATCGTGAATTTATTGATCGTGTAATGAATAAATCATTTTCATTAATTCGGATATGAGTGTAATAAAATTAATTTATCGGCATAATTTGTTAATGCTATTTACACGAGGAAATATTATATTTATTTTTTACTTTAATTGGAGACTTTTTAAATAAAATCTTTTTTAAAATTAATTAAAATGAAATGGTAACCCTGACTGTATAATATAGTCAGAGTTACCATTTTATTTTTATTTCTTTTAGGTTAGACTTTGTTTGTAAAGTAAAAACTGTTGTGAATCAAAATTTATGTAAATTTGTGTTTATCGCGTAGTTAATTAGTATGTAGTATATGTGTGGGTGTAGGTGTAGCTGTGCGTGTGTATGCACGTGCAGTGTGATTATGCATGTGTGTATGTGTGAATTTACAATATCTGTGAAGCAAAAATATTTGTTATCAACGGTTTTGAAAACGGAGTAAATCTGATTTTTATATTTGTTTTTGGAACTATGCAGTATATATTCGATTGATGAAAATAAAATTCCTTTTTCTTTGTTTCAGATTGGAAATTTGAAACATTTTTTCCTATTGTCACACCCACATGTCAGCAAGCGTTCACCAAATTCTAGTACAGAACACGAGACTAGACTGAAAAATGAGCCTCAGGTAAGTTCATTTTACTATTAAAGCCTCAAAAAAGGGGTAAGTTATGTAGTTATGTTTTTGAATAAATGTTTATATGTGTGTTTATAATTTTATGGAATTTAATAAGTGGGGTTAAAGTTATCGACAATATAAAAAAAATATAGCGGCCATAAACTATCGGAAGAACCATACAGAGTTTACATATAAAGTTAAGTGCTGTACATTATATTTATAATCTAGTCTAAATTTCTTTATTGAGATTTCAGCTAATGTTTCAATATTGTTAGTCTTGAATTGTGTATTTACGCCAGTAATTTTAGATATGTCACGTCTTACTCACTAAGTAAATAATTTATACTAATATAATAAACTGGATAAGTTTGTTTGCTTGAAAGCGTTTATCTCTTTTAATAGTCAGATTAGAAAAAATCTTTTTGCATTTGATAGTACTTTTCTTACGTAAGATTACAGATAATTAAGCTTCATGATAAAATCACGGACGAAGTCGGGGGACTTAGCTAATATATTTATATCTCTGTATGACAAAACTGAAATAATTACCGTCCTTTTAAGAGAGGATTCTGAATATACGATGCGGAATATATTTTTAATTAAAAAATGCTGGAGTCGTTCTAACAAATACGACATATGTTATGAAAATATTTTTTTGCTGTTTTTCGACCACGTTTCTTTAGAAATAATATTTAGTGTCAGAACAATGATAATTAATGTTTAATTAAAATTCTACATGACTAATTTGGAATTATCATTTTAAAAGATTACTCTGAATATATGATATCCATGGGTGATGATAATGATGATGGAGGTCCATGGGCCTTCATTAATTATAAGTCTATATTTAAAATACTGTCAGGTCTATTGTTATAAAACTATGATGTATATTGTATTAATATTTACAAATGACTGTTTATTGCCATAAATAAATAATTAATAAAAAATAAAAGATACTATTTACTTTTTTTTTTCAACAAAACCATGCATCTAGCTGTCATGTTATGAGATTTTTTATACCGTTTCTAGACCACGTTCAAAGGAACGTAGTTGAAAATCAAAACTAATCATTATTATTTCAGACATTACCTGTCCACTGCTGGATATAAGCCTCCCCCATAGACTACCATTAAGAATGGTCCTGAACCATCTGAGTCCTGTATCCACTGACTTCTTGCAATGCATTTCAGGTCGTCACTCCATCTAGTGGCGGGTCGTCCCACACTACAAAACTAATACTGAATACTGGGGGGAAAGGGATTGTTAGCAATTGAGTTTGACAGCCCCATTGCTAGCAATATGTCCTATTATGTCGACCTCTACGTGGTTCCCCCTAGAAAGCGTCGTCAACAATTCTTTTTGAATTCGTCACGATAGGCTAACTGACCTGCTTCATACTCACCTATCATCCTTCACTGGTGCCCCGCCGGTGTATACCGATAGCGCGTGTGGGGTTACCATCCCATTATCACCCATAAAAAATACTGAATACTATATGCCTTTGCATTTTCTATAATAAACACTAGCTGTATCACGTGGCTTTACCCGCGTGAATCAGTACATAAAGTATCCCATGTGCTATATTAGGATATAACCTACATGTGTACTAAATTCTTTTCAAATTTGTTTAGCAGTTTTTGCGTGAAAGAGTAACAAACATGCATATGCCCATCCGTATAATTCTTTTTTACAAATTTTCGTATTTATAATATTAATGCGATTAGCTATCAAGCATTAGTTAGTATACCTCAATCTTCATAACCACTTGTCACTGCAGTAAACCTTGTTATGGTATTATAGTTAAGTCAGAGTCGAGTGCTCGTAAACTTTATGTAAAATAAAACTTTACATAGTACAAGAGTAGTTGGAAACATCTTAAGTTTGCACTTACTAAGTGTACAGTTAAGTAAGTAACGTATTTTCATATTATTATAATATTTATTCAGGTTTACTTCATCATTATTACATTAAAGTATTTACTCGTATTTGATATCTTAATTAAATCCACAAAATAAACATGTACAATCAAACATGAATGTGATATTGCTAGCGTTACTGTTAGGTTTATTTGCCATTACATTAATCATATAAAAAAATCTATATACAATACAGTAAAAACTTACAATATGAAAGTAAATAAATTTTCCAGAAAGAGTACTCTTGCAGAGATAAGCTCGCCTTTGTACATTTATTTTTCACTGCCATATTTCCGTATGCATAATTAGTGTGTATAATAAAAAATAATAAATAAATATTTTGCTTGTAGTAATAAACATAAGCGATATAATATGAGAAGTTTTTTTATATAACTTAGAATGACAAACAAGCTGACGGCTCACCTGATGGAAAGTAGTAACCGTCGTCTATAGACATGAGCAGTACCATGGACATAACAGAGTATATCGTTTCGCCCATGATACCCCACATGCGTTGCCATTCCTGAGGACAGGTGTTATCCCTCTGTACCCTGTAAATTCACTGGCATTTCCCACCCTTCAAACTGAAACACAGCCATGCAAACATAACTGCTTCACGGTAGAAACACAAAAAAAATACAAAAACTGATATGTGTTAATATTAGCTTCCTTATTTAAAAAAAATTCTAATTTCTAATAAGGTTATTTAAGTGTTTTTATATTTTGTGTTAATTTCTAAATTTAAAATAAATTGAAAATAGATTTATGTTTTTTTTTAAATAAAAGAGGACTTTGAATCTTGCGTTTTAACTATTAATTATATAACTTAAGGCACTAAGGTTTCGGCAACACAAAATTGACTTACATTGAGAAGAATAAAAGTGACTCACTTTAAAGTTAGAATACCTTGACAGGTGATAGATAATAATTGCAGCATTGCTAAGTAAGGTCTCCATCGAAGCCTTGGATAGAATGGTAAACTCACTTTAAATTTAAAGATAGCAATTACTTAACTCAATATTCTGAGGCCTTTTAGCAAAAAGTCGCTGAAACCAACATGGAAAGTGACCTCAAACAGCCACATTTAAATTCCTAAGAACAAACAAGACTTTAATGATTGACGAGACCAATGGCTTATCGAATTATTCATCGGTGCCCCTAAAGTTATCGTGACCGGGATCTTGAGTTAAACTATTTGGAATAATTGATGCCTTAGCTTTATAGTGCTTTGACGGATCGAAAGGTGAAAATTTTTATTTGAATCGCCCATTTATATACCATCATCATTATCATATTGGCCATTAATTGTCCACTAGCTGATATCCTATCGGGTAGGGGGAGACGTGCTAGTAGTTGCCACGCTTGGCAAGCGATTTGACAACTGCAGTTACTCTTTGGTGATGTTTTAAAAGAGACGTTACTGCCCATCCCTCGACCATTAATTAGGCATTATAATTTTACTTAATTCACCTTCACACTACTGCTATGAATGATAAACTACTCTTAATCAAAGTCAATTAATATACTCCGGTTGTATATCATCATATTAACCTTTAACTGTTTTGGTTTTGCCAGTAGTTGCCACGTTTAGCAAGCGGATTAGCAACCGCAGTTAGGGTTTAGACATGTTTTAAGAAGAACGCTGCTGCCCATCTCTCGCCCTTCCTTAGTCGCCTCTTACAATATCCACAGGAAAGAAGTAGCCTATACTATGCCGGGACCACACGGCGAATGTTATATATATATATGAGGACGAATTCGCGACTAAAACTAGTAAAAAATAGAAGGTATGCAACCAAAAGAGTAAGTCCAAAGTATATAGCTTTTTTCTCCCTTTTACCAGAGGGAGACTTTGTATAAAAGTCTTTTGCTTGGATACCTCTGACCCATTCGTGTTTCAACCGTGAAGCAGTTGTGTTTACATGGCTGTGTTTCGGTTTGAAGGGTGGGATATGGCGTGAATTTACTGGGTACAGAGGAATAACACCTGAGTCCTCAGGAATGGCAACGCATGGAGGGTATCATGGGCGAAACAGTATACTCTGTTATGTCCATGGTACTGCTCATGTCTATAGGCGACGGTTACCACTTTCCATCAGGTGGGCCGTCAGCTTGTTTGCCATTCCAAACTGTATAAAAAAAAGGGATTTTAATTTATTGGTCGAGGAATGTTCAGTCCTTTCTTAAAACGCCACCAAAGACTATCTGCAGTTGCCAATTCACTTGTCAAGCAAGGCAACTACTGGTAAACCCCAAAAAGGGAAAGTCTATGTTCAAGAGTGGACAATTAACGGCTGATGTGATGTAATGATTACATTATTACTCAAAATTTTGAAGTCATAAGAATTAGTGACGTACGCGTGATGTCTTAATGTAAAAAGCTTTCATAAGTTACAGTATGCGATTATAAACCAGACGGACATTTTTTTTTTAATGGATGATAATGAAATGGTAACCCTGTCTGCGCTAACGGTATACGCTGGCGGGGCACCAGTGAGGGATGATAGGTGACGATGAAAGCAAGTCAGTTAGCCCATCGTGATGAATTGCACTAGAATTAACCACGATGGTTTCCAGGGGGAACCACGTGGATGTCGACCTGATAGGGTATATTGCTAGCAATGGGGCAGTTAGACCCCATTACTAATAATCCATTTCCCCCCTAACCAGACGGACATTACTGCTTGGTTTCCACCCTCGTTCTTTAATTGTGTCAATAAAAGTTCTAATGAAATATTATCTGTACCAGGTGAGATGGGTAATGCAGCAGAGGGAATTGAGAAGAATAAAACGGGACCACCAGAGGCCCCGCCACGTTATGAGGCAGTCAAGTGCTCCTGCCTTTCCAGACCCGCTGTTCAAGGAGCAATGGTATTTGGTAAGTGATTTACAATTATTAATAACAGGCACATTTTCTCTGTAAATTAAAGAAAATAATACCCCGCCAAAATATAATTATATTTATTTCTTTTTACCTTAACCTTGTTTATTATGTAATCGTAGAAACAGTTCTTAATCTATGGACCTAAATTATTTTTATCTAGTGTAAGGAAAATTAATAGACAAGCTCAAGATGTCTACAGTTAATAAGTATTGATGTCGAGTACCTTGAAATCTTTATCTCTAAGATTTCTTCTTTTATTCATTACAAATAATACAGTTTATAAAGATTAACAATATGTACATAAATAAAATAAATAATTATTTACATAAATTTAATTGTACTACTTTCAACAAAATATATACCTAGTGTCATTCGGGATAATGTAAGAGTTCTAATAATACTCCATATAGACTTAATCTGTTCAGGCATTTAGAAGTTATAGTGCAATAAATAAACTCACATACATTAAAGTTAAAAACATTACACTCTTTTTTTATAACATAGGGAGTAAACGAGCATGCGGCTTACCTGATGGTAAGTCGTGTAAAAAAATATCTCCGTAAACTTTTGTACAATGACAATATGTGTAACGAAAAGGCACATAAAAAGTAAATCCATAATATTGAATTGGTGATTGTGCCTCTCTTATAAGGAAACTGATATATTAATAGCCTCATATTTTTATATAGTCTTTTTGATTCGTGATTTTATATTTATTCTATTACACCTTATACAATACATTTACCAATACAATATAAATATTGATATATCTTTTTTTGTATAGTCTATACAAAATAGCAATGGAAGTAGTTTAAGGAAAAGGGATTGATAGATATTACCAGAGGGAGACTTTGTACAAAAGTCGATTGCTTGGGTACCTTTGTCCTATTCGTGTTTCTACCGTGAATCAGTTGTGTTTGCATGGCTGTGTTTCAGTTTGAAGGGTGGGATATGGCGTGAATTTACTGGATACAGAGGAATAACATCTGAGTCCTCAGGAATGGCAACGCATGGGAGATATCATGGGCGAAACAGTATACTCTGTTATATCCATGGTAATACTCATGTTTATAGGTGACGGTTACCACTTTCCATCAGGTGGGCCGTCAGCTTGTTTGCCATTCTAAGTTGTATAAAAAATAATAATAATATTTTGATATAAAGTATAATTTTGTAATAGTTATTAATAACTATGCAAGATAAATTAGCAAATAATATCTATCTATCTATCCTATTTAAGAGTTGCGCTCTTGTTGGTGGAGCTCTCGCCACTCATTACGATTTTCTACGAGTCTCTTCACCTCTTGATACGACACGTTACCAACTTTTTCCTTAATCTGCCTGATGTAACTATGTCTTGTTCTCTCTTTTCCCCTCCTCCCTTCTATCTTACCTTCTAATATAATGTTCATAAGTTCGTCGTGTCGTATCAAGTTTTCTAACATTTTTTCCCTTTTGACCTCAATAGTTCTTATAATTTATCTCTATTCTTAACCCTAAGTAGGATCTCCTCATTACTAATTCAATTTCTTCAGCTAATTTTCTCCTTTCTTTCTTCAGCACCACATTTCAAAGACTCAATGTTTATCCATTTCTTTCTGAGTTAGTGTCCACGTCTCACATCCATACAAAGCTGCACTCCACATATAGGTCTCTCTCAACTCTTGATAAGTGGTTTTTTAACACCTTTTGTTATCTTAGCCTGTAAAAGGTGTTTTTTTGTTACCGAAGGCTTGTTTTTGTCAATAGTTAGTAAATATTGTAGCCAATTGTTAGTTTAAAAGAGATCATAGTAACTATATATATTACACTTTGCATAATGTATCCACCAAATAATATAAATGAGCTACAAAACAAAAGTTAATTTAATTTCGTCACAGATGGTCAAACAAAATAAGATATAAGAGTAATTGATGCAGCTGCTGTAATTTTGAGAGAGAAGTTGTATAAATTATAATTTTCCAAATGATATCAAAACAGAAACTTGTTATACAAGTAACGATTGCAATCTAGAATTTTCTGGTACAGTTCGTTATACATTACAAGACAAAGTAGAAATTAATGTAGCCAACTGTAATTTTGAGGGTGAAGACTTACAGATGCTACCTATAATAATATATTACTTGCTCACAGACTGAATACAAAGTACTGTGGAAGTTAACAAGCGAATGAACTTTTAAGCTGACTAAAAGCATTCGAGTGAACGGCCAAAGCAATTCAGGAGGAAATTTATTGAACGAAAAGATTGGCTCTATTCTAAACTACAAATGAGACTGTACTGTTTTTAAAAGTTCCGAATTGAACTGAACGTCTCTATTACTACACACGTTCTAGTTTTAGACGTGCAATAATGATTTGAATAAAAAATTGAAACATTAAGGTCGATTCTGAGGCATCCTTTCTCTGAACCTGTTTATAAAATTAAAAGTTAAATTTGGTATCACAGCGAAATCTTTATGAATGTTGAAAATAGTATATAGTTTAAATTAAAATGTGATGAGATACATATAATGAAATGGTGGTTTAGAATCGACCTCGTTCTTGAATAAGATTTTTGTTATCATTTAATTAACAACTAGATACATATTAATTATTTAATTAATGACGAATGTTTTCGTAAAATTGTTCTATCTTTCATTTCGAAAGGTCCAGACTATTCTGTGTAATTATATTTTGCCATATTATTAAGTAATATTTGAGATCTTTATATTTTGTTAACACGAAAATTATGTTTCGTTATTATAACCTCGTGATTTCACGTAACATTGTACAAAAAATTGGACGTTTTATATTTTTATGAATATGTATGGATGAAGTAAAAATTCATAAAATAATAAAAAAGAAATAAATATTAATATAATTAGACAAAATTATTCAGGAGAAAAAAAAATTACCAGTTGTGTTTGCATGGCTGTGTTTCGGTTTGAAGGGATATGGCGTGAATTTACTGGGTACAGAGGAATAACACTTGAGTCCTCAGGAATGGCAACGCATGGGGGGTATCATGGGAGAAACAGTGTACTCTGTTATGTCCATGGTACTGCTCATGTCTATAGGCGACGGTTACCACTTTCCATCAGGTGGACCGTCAGCTTGTTTGCCATTCTAAGTTGTATAAAAAAAATAGGATAAACGTGATTTTGAGCATTAAGGTTCAAGTTATTACGTAATGGCCGTGTGGTTCTGGTATATAATAGACCATCCCTTCCTTTCCGTGGGTCTCGTAAGAGGCGAATAAGGGAGAGTCATGAACAGCAGCGTTCCTGTTAAAACATCTCTACAGTCTAATTGCGGTTATCAATCCGTCTACCAGGCGTGGCAACTACTAGCAAAGTCGACGAAGGGAGAGGCTTATGCTCAACAGCGCACAATTAAAGGCTGTTATGATGATGATGATAATAGCGATTTTAGGTATAAGGTCGCTCATTGTTTTCTTACTGTGATTATTTCTTGTAATTTTTTATATTTATAATAAGTTTACTATTGTAATCTTTTGGAGGAAACAATAAAGAGTATCTATCTATCTATCTATGATAAGGTGAATTATATATTTATATAAAAGATTAATTTATAATTTCGTAGGTACTGGAGAATTTAATTTAAATTACAATACCGCTGTATAATCACTTCCAAAAATTAAATACCGAATTTTTTAAATTCAATTCGAGAAGAAATGTTAATTTGAAACAAACTAATTTAAAGAACAAAGAGAAATATACTAATTCAAGATCAATGCACAAAAGAAAACGTGACATGTTTTGTAATACTTATTTAATTTAATTAAACATAAAAGAAAGTTATGTTAAATTAAAGAAACGCCACTCACCGCCTGCAACTTCTTTAAGCGGGGCCTTTGTGAAATTTGAAAAGTTAAAATCAGACAATTGTAGCTCGTCAGACGAAATGTAACTTGAATTTTATTTTTTACATTCATAAACGATAACTTTGTCTTTTGAAATAGCGGAGTCCAGGCTTATCATGAACTCATAATCAAATCCTGTTTTCCTGTTAATTTTACTGTTCATTTCTGAATCGCATCTACTGAGGCGTGGTTTAGAAATAAACATAATAAACAAATAGGAAATAAACGTATATTTTGAGCAATTTATAACGGAAACAATTTTGTTTCCGTTATAAGTTGCTCAAGATATACATACTATTTGTATGTTTAGATGTTTATTTATTTATTCACTAGCTTTTATCCGTGATTTTGTCCGCGTGACCAATATAAATTCACTGACCGGAATAAAAGGTAGTCCATGTAGATACCTCCATTCCAAATAGTGCGTGTATACCAATTCCATTTCGTGACGTTGGGTTAAGCTTTTAAGACGCCATGAGGTAATAAATAATTCTCTTTCACATTTTATAATACTAAGCAAGGACATAATATCAAACTTGTGTAAGTTAGTATATCATCTAAAGAGTTGGATGAATTTCAGTAGTCAATTTACTGTTGGATTGGTTGTAATTTATTTAGGGAATTTTACACACAATAAGTTATTAATAGAACATATTAATAATAGAACTAAGGGTGGGAAGGTTTGATTATAAACTTCCAAATTATTCTCGTAGTAAAATTGAGATATATATTACAATATATGTAGATCAATTTTGAAATAATTATAATTTATTTTTTAACCAAAATTAAAGGCATTGAAATACATATTTATTATTTCTCAAAACAAATATCTATCTTTCTATTTTCACGCTTAGTTTCTTACGGTGTAGGCAGGGAGAAAAAATGATTTAAATTTTTTAAAAACAAATGTTTTTCATATATTCATAATTTAATTAAAATCAATCATTTATTGAATTTGTCATGTTGTAATAATATAGATCTTAAGCATTAGAGGTGCAGTATCAACATGAACCCTGTAAGGGCACAGAAATCATATTAATAAATATTTATTACGTATATTTACTTTCTTCCACGCACAACCATTCTTTGGAATCAACTTCCAGCAGCAGTATTTCCGAACCGATACGACAAC